GGTAAAATGTGTCCTTTGGAGGTTTAAATGTAGCTTCGAATTAATCATACTGGTGTTATTCTGTAATGAAAATTCAGTGGAACTTGTTATTTTCGAAGACAATGCAGCAATGAACCAGGAATTTAAGGTTCTATCGTTTAGCATATTTATTAAAGTAAGTTCAAAAATTGTTATTGTTATTATCGCCTTTATACTTTACAACCATAAATGTAAAACAAAAATTAATATAACACTGATAATTGAAATAAATAAATGCTATATTCCATTTCAGTAATAAACCGAAGCATCTAGAAAGTAATTAACTATTTCATGAAAAAAATATTTGTTATTAATTTTATTTCAATTTTAACATCTCCTGGTAATGCATTATATGTCCTATTCAATGCATCGTGAATAATAAAAATCAATGAAATCGATGATATTCTTGAGGAATGTTCATTTCCTTAAAACTTTCGCATCTATATCGTATTCTATTATATAGTCTATAAATTTTAAAAATTTATGTTTAACCTACATGAAATGTTTTAAATTAGTATGTTAAAGAAGAGGAAATAAAATTACGTAATTAGATACTTAATTACATTACACATACTAGCACTAGAAATTTACTCGCGTTGACAAAAAAATGTAACCGTTTAAGATTGAATTAGATAAACCTAAGTATCGAAATTACATATCGTTCCCTGCACTTATGAAAAAGGAATATTCATCGCGTGAGCACCGAGAGCGAGAAAATTGGGGAAACTGATAATCTACAAAGGATAACGCTAATTATTAAGCATCTTCATCAATATTCCGGTCAAGCAGAAGATATGTAACGGAAAACGCGCGAAACGATGGCCATCGAAACGTGAATAATTACCAGTGGTACGATGAATGCGTAATGAAAGCTGTATTAATTATCATAGATAATTAACACCATGAACAGGAAACACGCTCCATGTTTATGAACAATTATCGGCATTAGCTAGTTTACGTTTGCCACGACTAACCTTCCTGGAACTTCGTGATAACATCAAGACAATTGAAAATTATCGAATTAATTAAACTAATGAATACGATTGATGTTAAAGCAACTTCGATAAATTAAATCAACTGCTTTGTTACCTAACTAAAGTGTCTCTGCTAGTTAGTCACAAAATATTTCATTATATTTGTAATGAATTTTATCATTGAATACATCCGCCAACTACCCTAGAACCACCGCTATAATGTCCTCAAACACCTCTATACTGTCGCCTCAGCTACTGAACTTCCACGCAGCATCCTCACGCGTCTACTTTCAAGAATCTTCCATGGACTCGTTAAATATTGTCGCGATAGTAACGACGAATTTTCGCAGTAAAACGCCTCTTTGCAAACAGATCGAAATCCGCGTATTGGATCGAGGAGGAAACAAGAAGGGTGGAGGAAAAACGTGTTGCGAGGGACGGCCGAAAAAATCGCAGGAAGGAACGATTACATCGGATCCGCGTTACCTGGCGTAACAGTACGGCTGTAATCTCATCCAGCCACTCGGCTCGCAGCGACGGTTTTTATCCTATTACGTCACATGAATAAACTAAAGACCATGGAGTCCGCGACACGGTGGAGGAAAGAGATCGCGGGATCCAGGGAGTGGTTGGAGCAGCTCTGGGTTCGACGTATGCTCTTTCCGGTAGCCAGGACCAGTCCGCTGAGAGAGAAAGAGAGGACGAGGGATTCGTGCTCTGCGGATGGATACGTTCGACAGGACGACCGAGCTGTCGGAAGAAAAAAGGGGGATGGGGCCAACGTGGCTCCGATTGATTCTGTTTAGATAGCTGCTACTTCGCTGTACGGCCCTGGTTACGCCGTGAAACGAGTATCGCCAAAGACACGGATGACCGAACGCCAGAGGGGACCGTTTTCCCGTGGACCTAGAAGATCTTGCCGAGGTGTCGAGTCGACGACACACGTAGGATACGACGCAGAGGTTGCTCTGGATTCCTCCTTTCGTTTCGTGATAGTGAATGGATGATTTGCTGGTGGTTGTAGTCTAGATTGATAGAGGGTTGGGGGTTTGGAAGATTATTTTGGTGCTGTGGATGGTTGGACGAGGTTTCACGTGTTTTAGTTGTGAGACCTTTTAATGGTGGAAATTTGTTTAGAATTGGATGTAGAAGTATGGTGATGGTGGTATGTAATTAGGTAGGACTAGTATAGGATTCGAGTGTATTTATGAATTAAGAGCTTAGGAGAAGTGATTTCTCGTTTCGGAAAAGTGGAAAGTTTGGATAAATAATTTATTGTATATATTAGACTTGATTGAAGAAGCTTTTTAATTAAAATTCCGAATTCGTACTAGACTTCTGTAATTAGAACGTATGTGGAAGGATGATGATGATGATATGCGATTATGTTGTATAAAATGTTATTCTATTTGTGAATTAGAAGTTTGAGAAAAGTGGTTATTTGTTTAAAAAAAGAAAGGAATGCTTTATTTAATAATTTACTGCATAAGTTAATTCTATTTGAGAAACTTCGTAATTAAGATTTCGAATTCTTATTGTGTTAATGACTTAAATAATAATATGCTTGTAAATAAATTTTGAGCAATTATTATATTACTTCAGAATTATATATAATATGTTTATACCTGTATAATATATTAAAATTATGTATAATTACATTAATTTATATTTCCATAATTGTAGTTGGACAACGTTATTAGATATATTCTGAAATAAATATAAAAACGTTTATTTAAAACATTACTTAAATATTACAAAGCAAATTTTCAGTGTTTCGTTTTATATTTAATTAATGCGTTCGAAAGACTATAATAATGTAAAATCAAGTTTGTGAAACAACCGAACGCTATAAATAAATAATTTATATCTCATTAAATATAACGATAATTAGGCGCTATAATTCAACATTATACAATTTCATTAATAAATTATAAGGCATATAAAGGGATTTAATATATATTTTCTTTAATGATGATTAAAGGAAATAATACGCAAAATGACAAACTATTAAAATATAAATTAAGGACTTGACATAACATATTCCCGTAATTTTCGTAATTGAAACTCTTTTAACGATATGCCATATTTCCGACTATATTAATTTGGAATAATCAAAATGATTGAATAACAACATGGTGTTGTATATTTTAAATCAGAAACCCAACTTACATATATACAATTAATTATAACAAATATACAATTCATTCATGTATATACATATATTTAACGTAAAAATTTCATCGTGTCTCTTTTTAATTTAATAATTTAAATCATCACTAATTATTAATTTAATATAGTAATTGCAATTTTATCTACAACGTGAATCAAATTCTTTAATTTGTTCACGATAACGATACAAAAAATATTGCATCGATCACTATAAATCTATAAAAGATATATTTTCTGTTGATCCCTAAAAAACTATATTGAAAATTGAATTCACTTCACGCACAAATAATTTTACTTCTTTTTAATATTCGAAATATTTCATAATATTATTAATTGCAATTTAAACAATCGCTTATATATTACACCGATAAGTCTTCGATAACTCTTCTTGCAAGGGATGAAATCGTAAGCGTTCATGGGGGTAGGTTAAGCGTCGGTAAGATAAACGACGGATGCACGAAATGTGTGATACATGTGACAGGGTAAACTTGTGGCCAATGAAAATGGATGATGCGAACTTCCAATGTCTCTTTTTATCGCGGTCTTACATTCCAAATATATCAGAGTGCTTCTTTCAGCTAGCAGCGATCTTCATGTATAACGTATTGTTCTTTGCAGAGTTTAATCGCGGTATTTTGATTTATGTTGCCACCTCGGCCGATTTCTTCCACGACTCGTAATAAAATAATAATGCAACGAGAATGATCGACTCACGTAATGAAAGTTTAATCGTGTTTCAGATGTAACGGAGATAGTTGACCTTTGGATATGAACAGAGTTCCATTGGAAAAAGAAGGCTAATGAAATTAAATCGCGAACTTGGAATAGAATCATGCTCCGTTAAGATATATTTACGCAATTAAAAATATACTTTAAATCATTTGCTCTTCAACTGAATGATATCTGCATTTGAAAGAATTTTCTACAATATTTCTTTGTCATATTAGTTTCTTTAATATTTTTAATATTCCTTTTGGATTTTTCTTTGCACTTATAATGAAAATTGTTGTTCGGAGCAAGCGATTAACTTCTTGTATTATGCTCGGTACTTTATTTTATTTTGGGAAATCTCAAAATTTTATTTCAATTTTCTTTTTCAAGAAATTCCAGGATATTTTATTCCAAGAATTTGCAAGACATGCAACATAGTATAAAATCTGTTTCGAGAAACGCAAACTGTGCCGAAAATACTTCATTGCATAAGTAATTATACAAATGCGAAAGTAATCCCAAATGTATTTGATTTGCAACAAATATCAAAGTAATAGTCATGAAGAAAAGCACTATTCGAATAATGATATATCAAACCTCTAAGCTACACTAAATATTTTTCACTGTACAAATTTCATCAAATTCTATATTATCAATTTCAACAAACATTAACCACTATAAACTATGAGAGATCAGCAACAAACTAACTATAACATTAAACCCAGAAATGCAACAAGTCCCAAATTTTTGTTACACAAATTGTCTCTTCGAATAATTCTCTAAAAACAACATTAAGTAACTTACACCAGTAAATAATGGAATTATACAGTAACAAATACCTTCTCGAACAACCCTAACGAGACTAAAGATCCCTCACCCAAACGTCCTCATCCGCCAAGAAATACGATTCCACCAAATAAAACTACCCTTATCTGCTTCCTTAGCAACACCGAAATCCTCGATATCCTCCAGCAATCACGATAAAGTGCAGTTGATCCACCTACCCAAATCAAAGAGGTCTTTTATTAGGACATCGAGCCCCGTCAAACCCCTGCGTGCGAAGAAAGTATGGCAGTGTCGAAGACCGAAAGTGGAAATAAAAGATGGGATAAAATGGTGATTACTCACTGTGGGATTGGGCATACAACGTCGCGGCGGTGGCGGCATGGGATCCGGGGCTGCACGATAAGGCGGCGGCGAGTACCTTCCCGAAGGGAAACAACCCGGGGCCGTGATGGGTGCCCCGTGAAGTCCCTTGCTTCCCATCATCTTGTCCGGTGAGTACATCATCCTGCAGCCAGTCAAGTCTAAGCTCCCGGGCTTAGACCTAAACCAGTCGAAAACCGGTACCCTCAAACGCAACGATACCAGCAGCGACAGCCGCGTTTCTGCTTCACATCAGTGATCGCGATTCGCATTTGAGTGACAAGAATTATAGATGTCCTCTGCACCCAACTCGAGAGTACCTTCACTTTCACTTTCACCAAATCGCTAGAAACCAAGACGCACCGGCGATACTGATCGACGTGTCACCGTATCTTGCGGTATCTCGCTACCTGGTCTAGCACTCCTCTTTTACGAGTTACCACTCATTCTCGCCGCAGTCACGTAGATCACCGATCAGTCCACCGATTTGTCTACAGTCGCTCGTGGAAGAGATCGTGGATCCCTTCGCATGGTGCACTCGATCGTGTACACAGTGGTTGAATCAACTCGCACAGTTTTGTCCTATGTCTTAACCATGGCGACGGCCGAACGTTCCGATCTGTTCGAACGAACCCGGCGATCTCGCACTTCACAATGAGGATGTAAAGCCAGAAAGGGGGTAGCCGTGTGTTTTTCGATTCGTATGAATAAATAATTTCCCTATCAAGGAGCAGCTGATCACGTACAAGTGCAGGGATCACACCGACCAACGTCACTGGGTAGAAACAACGAACGATAGAATCGCTGGCGCCACACAGAGCGATCACTGGATGAACATCCGCGTGGAATTCGGAAAGGAAAAAAAACTGTCCACGGTCGTCAAGTTGTCTCGATTGAACCACAGTCGTAGAACCGTACGTACGCGAATGTTGTCCTGAAGTTGTGCACTTTTTGGCGCTGACTGACCGGCGAAGAGTGGTCCGTGGATGAACTCTTCCACGGGGGTTGGAGGGAATGAAGGAAGAAGAGGGAAACGACGGGATAGGGGATGGTTGGTGATCCAGACGATTCGCAGAGTGGCGCGTGCTCGCAAGTAGAGGGGTTGTTCTCCACGGGGTGAGTCGAGAACAACCGGAACGGAGGGGTACGTCGTGCATAGGCGGAGTTTAGCACGGTCACGCGTGCGCTGCTCGCGCGATCCGCGTCGGCCATCTTTGACCTTGCTTTCGTGCACGGCATGGGTGTCGCTAACCGCGACCACCCGTTTGTCCATCCTTCCTGCATTCCACCCACCCTCTTTCATCCTCGTTCATCCGTTTTCCTCTTCCATTCCAAGCGATTTCGCCTTGTCTCTTTTTCTCAACCCCCACCGACGTTACACGCCCTTCCTAGCCAACGTCGAGCCACCCCGGCGTTCCAACCGAACCTTGCCCCGCGCAACCTTGTCTCGTCGAAGACGCCTCGTGTCGTCTACCTACTTTTCTTCCCTCGCGTCGTGCTTTTGTTCGGCCACCGCGAAATCTCTCGCTAGGCTGTCGCCGCTACTGCTGTTGGATTAGTAGCTACGTCGTAAACTGGTCGGACTCAGTCACCCTTAACGCCAAGGTCGCTACTGTCGCCACGATTCCCGTTGCTTCTGCACGTCGCTCGTCATTTATGCCCGATGTCCAGAAAATTGCGACTGAAACGGGGATAGTTTTATACGGGGATATTCCTGCTTGGATTGTAACCTCGTGGTTATACTGCATTTCCTTTTGGACATGTTCAATAGCATAGACGAGTCGGTATCGTATCGGTGCATATACGAAAGGGCTGTTTAGGATTTGTTACGAATTAGATTAATTTTGGGTAATTTAATTTGGTAATGTTCCGACGTTGCGGGATTTTCAAGACCATTGGAAATTTGTATCGTAGTCGTTAGAAACGGTGTACGAAGTGCCTGAGCACAATGAGGAATAAATTTGTGTTATAAGATATTGAATATACGTAGGTAGTAGTCGAGGCTCGTGTAGGAAACATTTACAATTGAACGAATTTGATAGAATTGCTGTATTTACTGTGCTAACACTGATTAACTAATATAATATGATTTATAAGTTCCTTTTTTAGTATCGTTCTATTTTTATTACCGACGAATCAAATTTAACGAATTATAAAAATTAACGAAGGAAGTCAATGGACGTAAAATAATTTGGTGTATTCGGTTTGTATTATTTTCGTCGAAAACAATGCAGCTTCGACAAAGGAAATAACTAAATAACTTCACTGAAACAGCCCTTGTTTTCTTCTTCGTGCAGTTGCATTTTAAAAAAACCGCATACATTATTCGGAGGAATAATCGATTTGGCTGTGTTTGTACTCGATTGTGGTTAACCTGCTTCGTTTTAAATGATTATTATTTAAAGCAGCCTTTTACACTGCACGTAAATAGTGTTGCTTAAATACTTCATTGCTCGCACTGATAGTATATATACATATATCTTTTTAAAATATTCATTTCCTACAAATAATTGTAATCACTGCAGTGAATATACGATATTTCGACGTTGTTTAAAGAATTATTTAAATGATCTGAAAAATCTAGTTCGAAAAACGATAAAATGAAATACATATAAAAATTTGTAAATATACCGATTTAAATTTAAAAATTATATATTCTCAAATTCGTGTTCTTTCCGAATAAAGATTTATTAATCTACGAAAATCATTGAATTCCTTCATCGATAGTAATTACTAAGCTGCCAGATGTTTGCAATAAATATATTTTCTATGCTTTCAGCGATAGTATTTGAAGTATTCGATGATTTATAATACTCTACGAACCAAAAGTATCTTCATTCGTATTTTATTTCTAAAGAATTATATCGTAATAATAACCACAACTCTAACTTAAAAATATAATTTTTTGAAAACACTATCTTCTTCGAAAATGCACGTTTCAAAAACATAAATAAATAAATCATTTTGTAAAATACGTGTACCCGAAGATTTACATAATTGGCCGAAAGAAATTTGTTCCAGCCACTCGATTCCAACGTTGATATTTGGAGCTTCTACAACATCATTAATAATAAACCATGGCTGTACGTGTATTTGAAAATTCCGAGACAATCGAGAGTATTTTAACGATCAGCTGTGCTGCTATTTGATCGGCCGTATCTTCGTAGTAAGTGCAGATTTGTGTGAGCTATTTCATAATGAATTTTTAAGGTGTCATGGACCCTTCGTAACCCAGATCCCCTCTGTTACTCCCACAAGGCTACGGGACTTTCGTCGATCCAATAAACGAATAAAGCCGTTTCACGCTATTCTTGACTCTCGGATTTCAATCCAACTGACCAACACAAAAGTTGATTTTGCCATTTTTTTACATCCCTCGGTCTGATGTGGAAATTTTCAAACGCGATAATGCCGTTTAAATTTATAAATCATAAGAAACGTGAAATACTTGACGAATTCGTTTTCCATTTTGCACAACTCTAATATAGCGTTATACTTTAACCCTTTTATTAATTTACCTCGTATTTATATTTTTTGAACAGCACCGAAGAACCATAGAATATTCATGCAACTAAACAAATTGATACTATGACAAACGTTACTCTTATTATACCGAAAGGTTTATACGAAGTCACTGGAGTATGGGCATTTTTAATTCTATTTAATTCCGATATAATAATTTTCAATTACAGCAATTCCTAATAACAACATTAGACACCCCATTGTTCAAGAAAGGGAACAAGTCTCTTTAAAACTTCCTCACATGCTCTTCCACAAAACCTACGTGTCATCCAACTAAATTCAACAAACAGTACCTCAGCATGGACTAATACTAATCAAACAAAACTCTCCTCCACATTCAACCCTATTACCGTTAACATTCGCATGCATCTGAATCTACCTTGCAGCTCTCCAAGCATTACTTAATTATCTACCAAAATCAAGTAAATATCGTTTTCAAGAATACCATAAGAGAAATAATCCCAACACTTCTCGTTACACTTATCCGTATACCTATCTGTGGCAAGAATAGCCAAAACGACTAAAAAGGTAGTAGTAATGGGAAGAGTGGCGCTAGTGCAGTTGAACGGCTTCCAACATCATCCGATCATCCTCCAAAGTATCACGGAAGGATTAATCCGAATATGCTACATATCATCTACTTACATACTTCTCTCACGCAAGAATAACCAAAAGGATCCAAGGAATACCTCGACACGAGTTTACTTATCGACGAAACGAGGACAATCGCTCATCCCAACGAAAAAAAGAGAAGCGGTAATGGGAAGAGTGGCGGCGGTGTGGTTGCACGGCTAGACGGGTCAGCCAGGGAAGACAGAACGGACAGGGCAACGGTACACGAGATGGAACCGCGTACGATGGAAGAGGAAGCGGTGAAACGGTATAGGTAGCCAAGGGGATGAGGACGAGAAGGAGGCGACGGGCTGGGGGAGGATGGGGTGGTTGCGAGTTTGGCGGCAGTCGTTTTCCGAGGGATGTTGGGCGGAAGGTTCCCGCGGGGCCTGTGTTATCGCCTCGGCAGGATGACCAGCCCGCGGTATCAAATATTAAACCTACTTGCACCGGCAGCCTATCCTCGACAAGGTATCCAAACCTTCCCTCCGACCAGATCCCTCCGTGAACCCCGCGTCCATGGGTCACCACCAGCTCGCCACCGCTGTCTGCCATCAAAACCTACGCCTAGTAGGTTTACTGCCGCGTCTCGATCTCTCCGGTTCTCTCTGTGATGCTTAGGCCGTTTCCAACGCTGACCAAGGCAACGACGGGACGCGGTGATCCGCCACGACAACCGGCTATTTCTCCTTGCCGACCGTGCAAATTCATTCCCTGGACTTAAGAAGAATGCTAACACGTCCGGGATTCTTAAGATTTTACAGTCCAGTACCGGAAGGTGTGCTGAAAGAAAAAGGAAGGGGTGTAAGAGAACGTCGTCGGCGGGAACGATGCTCTTGTAGACTTCTCCTACGTTTCTTGACTCCCGAACGTGTGGATGGTCACTGGCCACGAGTCTCACGCTTTACGGCTTATCTGCCTGATCGTGATCTATGGATAAAACAGTCTATGTCATTCGTTGCTCTTATTCGTTTTTACTTTCATAAATGAGTCGGTCTTCCGTCGACGGT